TAACACCTCAGCTTCAAAGAGTAACTAATATCAATACCAACTAGATCTGAATATGGTTGGTTTTCATCGGAGAATACAATTAGCTTTTGATAATTCTGGTTGGGTTTGGAAAGGGTGGCTGGTGTGGTTGGGTGAGTGGGGGGAGGGTGTATCCAGAGAGAGTGCTTATAACTCGGAACCATAATTACTTTAAAATTTCGTGATAGTTTGTGTTTAACAGAAAAAATTGGTTGGGATTCTGCTTTTTTGCATATTTTGGTGGATTTTTTAAAAACACATTAAAATAAAAATACTATCGCTCGGTAACAAATTATCGTACAAACATGTTTGAAATATAGAATTGTAGGAAATTTAACACTCTACAAAAGTGTAAGGTATGCTTTTTTGGTAGGAAGTAAGAGAAAAATGTTATTGAGATAAAAGAAAAAAATTGTCGAAAAAAAGTTTCTCCCCCACCCTCTTTTTTCCACAGGGTCCTCGAGGTCCAAAACTTGGGAAAATGTTGATTTATCATCCCTGAACAACATCCCCAAGTTTCATTAACTTCCGACCTTTTTCCATCTAACGCCTCTTTTTTCTACCTGCCGACTGGACTATAATTGAAAATGCTGCAAGTGACAGTGAAATATTCTGTTTGTTTGTAGTGTTTAAATATCCATGTTTCTTGTGTCAGCTTGGGCTCTTTGCCATTCAGGTTACTTACTATCCTCATAAAAATAAAAAAATAAAAAATGACCTTTTTCTCTATGTTGCATCTGTAAGATTTGTTTTGAAATAGGTATACTTTAGCTATATTACTTAAAGAATTGGGTTTAGTGGCTTTGAGATATAAAGTAAAAACTCATTTAACATAACTTTGATTTTTCAAATACATCAATGGCTTAAACCTTGTAAAAAAATCCTGGACATAAAGTTAAGTCATGTGTTGTAGATTTGTCTCATCGGTTATTTTAGGACTCTGCCGTCATAGGGCTTTAAAGTACCCACTTCCAGTTTCCTCTACGCCTAAGATAGATTACCTTAAAAAAATTAGCTCAGGAGTGCGTAGATGAAACATTCAAAAATACTTACACAGATATTACTTTCTACAGTAAGATTTCTTCAGAGAGTAAATAAGTAATACAGTTTATTTGACAAAAAAGGAATATTTATGTATAAACAAAAATGTATATTTTACAGGAGAACACCTTGTAGTATGTTGAGCTTGATAGTTTTGTGATTTAAATTTAGTTTAGATTAGTAATTTAGTTTTGTGAAGATAAAAATCTTCGAGTTTTTTCTTCTTCTCTTTGTGTTTCATCCAACCCTACAATACTTCTGTGATAACTATTTTAGTAGTGGCTGTAATCCTCTTCCAACATCCCAGAAATATGTAGGCTTAAGTACCAAGTGTCAAATATTTAGTAAAATTTTGGCTTGCTGTAGATTAGCATTAAATTTGCCCATTTGATAGTGTGAAATTTGGTGAGCCTAATTTTTTTATTGTACAAAGTTAGGAGTTTGGTTTCTGTGCAGAAATGTACGCTAAATAATATTGTTTATTTTGTTTCAGGAAAAACTATCGCAATAGGAAAAGTTTTGAAGGTCGTGGAATAGAAGAATTATGTTATCGCAAAGAACGTCAACATTTCTATCTTTTCATCCGATCGCGGTGGCAATCTTGTATAAATTAGCAAAACTGTCAATTTTTCTCCTCGGTTTCTTTCCTTCTGAGTTGTTACGGTTGTTTTGTTGTCTTTTTTTATATCTAGGATTAATGTTGTGTTATAATATTTCACAGTTTAGTTATTTGGGTGTAATTCAAATATATATATGATATATTTTTTAATAGTTTTCTCTTGTTCTTGTATGCTTGATTAGAATTTTTTTATGTTATAGTGGACTTGCCAACTAGTTTTCGCAAATTTTTTAAACCCGTTTTACTATTTGTCAATTATCATTCTTTTTGTACATTGGAGTTTTAAAATACTGTGCTCATATTGGGATGAACCCTTTTGATACGAGTAAAAAATGCAGGATCACACATTTTGGGCTCTCGGCTTGGTTTGTGTTGCATTCAACATTTGCTTCAAAACCTATTATTTCCAAAATAACACGATAGGTAGTCAAATAACTCACTTGATACTTTTATCTTATTTTCATTGTTGATTTTTTATTTGTTGAACTAAGGAGATTTGTTAATACTGTAACAGTTTGATTCAAATTTCTTTAAATTCGTCTTAAGCTCTAGCAGATAAATTTTTTCACATATGTCTAGAATTTGAAGATTCATTTTGGATTTTTCAAACAAGCCACTGTTGTTAAGTTAGATTGGTGTTGCTATAAATTATCATACCCTGCTAACTTCACCATAGTGTGTAAATGATATCCTGAAGAAATTTCTCTAGAGAAAATGTATTCTCGACTCACATACAAGTTTTAAAAGTGATCAGATGAAAAGATAGGTGAAAAATTGGACGTCAGTTATGTGAAACCTAATATATAAGAGATTTATACTATGAATTTGTTACAATGGGTGGAAAACTTCCATTAAAACAGTTTTTTTGCATTGTTCATGTTTAAGTTTTGTACATAATCTGCTTAATTCAGGATTGGTCGGTTATTTTGATGAGGTTGTGAGGAATTCATTTGTTCTAGCGCACATTACGTTAATTTTGCAGTTCAGATTGATATCATCGAACCGTAAATATTCATGTGCCTAAGGTTTAAGGTCCTTATAGTTTTGTATTTTAAAATTATCATTTTCATGTGTTTTAACCAAACTTGTTCTTAAATGTAGGTCAAATACTATTATGGTGTAACAAAATGAAATAGAAAGTTTGTAAAATTTCTTAAATAACTAACTACTTTGTATCTATCATTGGACAGAAATATTAATTAAGTACTTGTTTTTGGTATCGAAACACCTCTAAATATTGTTTCAAGTCTGCAGTTAAAAAAAATAAAGATGTACAGTGTACAGCTCAATGTTATTTATTTCTTCGAACTCTTATTTTTTTAAAGGAAGACTTAAACCATACACTACTTAATAATGCTCTTTGTCATATTGTAGCTAAAACAGTTGTTTTTAATACATGTGTTCCAGGTTGGTATAAAGTAGCTCTTTTTCTCCCGAGGGATTAATCACTTACTAGACAGCTGCTTGTTTAGCAATAGCAAAATTGAAAACAGTAAGGTTATCTATACATAATAAGTATTTTTGTGTTGTAACTTAGTTTTTCTTAAATAATGGTGCAATATGTCAAAAATAAAATATAGTTAATCGCACGGGTCAAAAAGAGTTACTTTACGCCCTAGTGATGAGAAGTTTACTATAATCCTCAGTCGTGTAAAACTTTATAAATAGGCCAAAAGTAAAAAATTATAAATGGTTGAAACAAAGCAATTATGTTCAACTACCATTTAAATTTTAACTTTGAATCCACTTTCGTAGAGTGAATACAGAATTTGATTTTATTTATTAGAAATCTCTGTGTTCCTTATAAAAATTAATCTGGTGTTTGAAAGTATGTTGTTTATGTTATCAAGTTTTACAATCAACATCAAGATTTAAGAGGACCATTTTTCACCTAGAAATTACGTATAGCAATTTTCTGGGTTATGGTTACACTGGTAAAAATACAGTATAATATGTCTTATGTTCAAATGAAATCCAAATAATGCACTGGCCTACATTAAAAACGTAAAAAGTTCTAATTTCTGTCTTCCAGACAGATGTTTCAAAACCTGTACAGTTAATAGCTTAATTTTGGTACTAACTTTTAAAGCCTAAAAGTTTCTAGATACTAGGTTCAATTTTTTACTCAGCTAGACCGGTATATATACTAACACTACGTTTTGTTATCTATTAAATTATTCTTACTTTTGTTTGTATATTTTGCTGTTAGTAATTTATGGAATAGAAGGGAACACAGTTTTTGTTCCACGAGTGTTGTACATAAAGTTCAGATGTTAGGTAAGGCCATGTATTGTAATATACTCAAGTGGTTCTGGACTTTCCTTTGGATAACAGTCTGTGGATTGTTATCTGGTTCCACGTGCTTTTATTGGAGGTCAACTGGTCAATATGGTTTATAAATTCTTTTGTGAAGTTTTTTTATGTAAAATAAAGACTATTTTCAATCAAATTGTATAGGCCTATATTGAATAATTCATTTCTCCTTGTCCACTTTACCCGTCATTCGTAACAGGGTGAGAATGTAGAAGAGGTAATGTGGCTCTTTTAATCCATGGTAGAAAACAGCCACATACTGACTGTTGATTATAGAAATTAAACTACCTAAATGTGTCGTTATGGTTTGATAAAATTTAAAAACAAATTTCTTTAATTTAGTTTATTGATATCTGTGTGACAGGGTAATAACTATCAAAATACAGAAACAAATTTATATAGAGCAAATGTAAACCATGTAATTTATATTTTTCTTGTCCTGGAGGAAAATCCATTTTACGTTGGAAAGCTCCACATCAAGACATGGTCCATGGTTCATGGTCAGAACCGAAGGGAATATTTACAAAAATGATTAGGCTTATGGATTAGCCGGGGACTTGTTCACCGTATGTAAAATTTCAACCCAGCCAGTTCAGTTGTTATTCCATATATCAGGAAGAATCAGATATATGAATAAATAGACGCTCTATATAAATTACTGGTTAAAAGTCCTCGGAGTCTAGCGGCCATCTTGGATAGTTTCAAACAGCTGCTGCAGAGTTATGCTTAACGGCCATCTTGGATTTGCCCCAAACAGCCACTGAAGAGTTATTTACCATCTCAAAATATTTTTTCAAACACCAGTGTAATATGGTGTAAATATCTAGTATACTGTGAGATTAGAAATTTTCTTTGTAGTTTTCTAATTGTTTTACTAGTTAGAACATCTAGGCCCCAAGGACTCTTTAACATCATGATGTTTAAAGTTATACTACAGACCCCTTCAGCGTTGTCACTAGTTTCGACTTACAATCATAATGAAAAAAAGGGAAACAAATTAAAAAAAAAATTCAATTGATCATCTTTATTTAAAACACATCAACAATAGACTAACAAAAATAATAACAATACAAACAAAAGTTCTCACTTATTACATCTGAAAACTAAAACTACAGTAAAGCTTTACTGATGTTCTTATATTATAGATCCGATAGAATTGACAAAAGTGAACGAGATATGTTGCAGAGTCGTTAATGAAAACTAACCTAGTAAAAATAGAGAGCTGACTGAGCAGTTTACGAAAATATACACTTCAATGGTGTTAAAACTAGAGAAAATTTCTATTACAATACAACATCTCTTAGTGTTTATGAAACTGTTCTCTAAATCTACAAACATGTTTTGTTGTACTATTTCAATACATGCATTATAATATATCAAGAGAAAACAGTGTACTACAATGTGACTACCTAATTGGAAATAGTCCATAAAAAACTTTTCTCACATTTCATACCCACAACAATCGTTTCCTAAACTGTAATCACAGAAACTTTTCCATGTATATGTTCACAACAAAGACAAATATTTCAAATTTCCATATGTTGTAATCGTAATCCTAATTTACGGTTCATAATAACACATAACATGTCCAATGGCATTACAGATTTATCTTTGTAGATAAGCTGAAGACCATTTTTATGACGTATGATTTCTGTCTGATATTATCATACTCGTGTCTTAAAATCTTCTCCCTTAGTAGATTTCTCATCCTTATGGAACAGCTGAAGCCAATTTTATTGTTAGTCCTGTCTGGTGCACTGTAGAGGTTGTGTTTTGTTTACAATTTGTTTCTCGTTATTTCAGCCATTTAAAACTTCGTTCAACCAAATAAAACAATCAAATCATAAACAATAGCTCGTCCCCTAGTTATATAACGAGAATAATATTGGATTGACATCAGCGTATCTGGCAAGCAACACAAACATCAGATACAGTGGAACCTCGATAAGAAGACCCTCGATAACAAGTCACTCTTGATAACAAGTGTATTTTTTAATTCCCCTCAAATTTTTTTTACCTCTAAACACATGTTATTGCAAACCTCAATAAGAAGTCAACCTTGATAACCAGACTTATTTTATAATCCCCATGAGAGTCTTGTTATCAAGGTTCTACTGTATTACTGTACAATAGAATGATAAGTTTACTTCCAATATTCTTAGTCAATGTTACTAAGTAGAAGCTGCATCCATGTTCAGTAGAACCTCTTTAATCCGAACTAATTGGGACCAGGGGATAGTTCGTACTATTGAATAGTTCGGATTACAGGAACATATTATTGCTTTAATATAACAATAGCTCATACGTAGCTAAAATGGATCGTAATTGTTACAGGAAAAGTGAAAAATGCTTTATAGAGTAAAAGACAGTGTTTATTTAAATTTTTAACGTTTACAGCAGTAAACATAGTGAATAAAAAGTACTGTAAATTACAATAGAAACAATTACAGATACAGTATACAATAAATAACTACTGTACTGTGTATAGAGTACAGCAATGAGGCAGTCGGATTAAAGAGGTTCTATTGTAATGTCCATTTTATTTGAGACTCAAAATTGTAACGACAAATATTGAACTATTTTTCTTTGCTGTGAACATTAAAACAATGAAATACAATTATTAATTTTAACAAATTGACACAAAACAAAAGTCAAAGCATGGCACTATAACATTGAGCAATCGAAGAGTAAATAAATCTATGCTCAAATATTTGGGGTAACACAATTGTTGAGAAATATTCCAAATAATTTGTCAAGATGGATATACATTACATACAAAGGTAAACATTTGGTCCCCCCAAATTCATAATTGTTTTTTTTTTTCAATTGTGTGGTTATTAAATCAGTTATATTTCTCTTGTAAATTTTCAGTTTATTAGTTATGCCTCTATGTCAGATTTGACAAACTGTTAAACTGATTCAGGACCTTGATTCAGTGCAAAAACACACATAATTCAATCATAACAGAAGGCTTTTCATGGTCTTGACTAAGTAAATGTAAACATAATACAGTATTACAACTATGAACTAAGATGGTTGCCGTCCCTGAACAAACATGAGTGAAACATTATACACTTATCTATTCATGAACCTAAAAGAATGTTGAAAAGTGGAATGTAAGTGATAGCAGAGTATCAAAAAAATGTTAAAATAAAATACAGAAAATTGTACAGTTACTTTCTACCCGTCCCTGAACCTGCCTATCGGTGTCAAACACCTCTTAACACAACTAAAAACAAACACTTTTCGACTTCATTCAACTAACTATTTAAATTGTAAGAGTACAAAATTAACAACATTATAATCGTGTAAATAATGATACGGTTTTAAATCTTACACTACCGTTCTCAAACTAAGGTATAGTTATCTTTGGCGTTAATGTGTAATTGGTAGGGAAATGAAAACTTATTATACCTTGGATACAGTAGAACCCCGCTTAACTGGAATGCTTGAGGATAAATAAAATTAATACTTGTAATAGTGACAAACGAAAAGACTCATTTTCTACCAAGTAGACTACCACGGAATCTCACAGTTTGGGGTTATTTGACCTACATTCATCGCTGGACTTCAAAGGGCCAAGGGATGAAAATTTAATAATTAATATACAATACTTTCCCCAAAATTAACCTATAAATACCAACCATTGATTATACAGAATGTTTTTGAGCCTATTATTCCAGGCGAGGCTTTATTATGTTTTGTAAAACTTAACAAAATGAAAAAAATAAAGCGACACAACCCCTAAGTTCCCTACTAACTTTATTCTTGATCTTGTATTGATTGAGTAGGTGGCAATGACAGTGGTACCAATGCAGGGGAAAAATGGACCCTAAAATACTCCACCTTCATAAATAAACATCTCTTTATTGTCACACAAACACCTAAACCAAAAATAGCATATCTTTTAAACAAGCGAAATTGTCATAAATTAAACTAATCTATCATTGGAATTATGGCACACACCAGTCCTCAAAACATAAATGATGCTATTTAATGCTCTTAGTGTCATGGTTTATAAATCAATTGAATGGTTTTGTTTTGAACGCCCAACTAAATATGATTCAATCTCATGCTAATTTGTCCACAGCCTTTTTTTTATGATTCTAACGCCCAACTAAATAAATATAATTCAACTTTATGGCATTTTGTCCACAAAAAGAGACTAATTTCTTCTAAAGAGAAAATTTACAGCCTCTTTGTCTAGCAGTTTTTGTTTCCTCTTATTTTGTCCGTTTCGTTTATATATTCTCTTGATTCGGCAAGTATATGCCCAACATTTTAAACCTAAAGTTCAACAAATATTTATTACCCTCAGGAAATGGGGAACCATGCCAAAAAAAGTCCTCTGTACTTCATTAATACACTTTTGAGATTAAAGTTCAACAAATGTAATTCAAATGTTCTAAAAAAACTCATTTAAATTTGAAATTCTTAACAAAATCTGATGCTAGAATGTTTAATTTATCAAACATCTATGTAAGTAATTTGTCCAAAAAAATTACTTCTTGGAATGTTAAATACACAAGTTAACTCGGAACTCCTAACTTGTGTCGGTGAAGTAAAAATGCAAATGGTTAGTTTCTAAAAAAAAAATACTTCTCTATCATTCACCTTTCCTTCTATACACTGTCCTAATCACGCCAATCTGAAATGGTGACTCTTTGTAAACTATAGAATCACCATGTCCCCATAAACTATGAAACACTAAGATAAAATAGAACTTCCAAATAGTAGCAACCCTATGAGAGGCTGGTTAAACATAATTTTCCTCAAGTAAAAAACTGTGGACAGTAGTTGGTCCATCTATGGAATGTCTACTTCGGTAATTAAATTAAAAAAAATAATGGCTACTTGATCATTTATATCTACCTTTTTCTGTAGTTATAACATTTTAGGTTCCTCTCAAATCTTTCAAATTTGTTTACAGTAAAACCCTGTGATGCTGTTATTACCCAATATTTTGTGGGCTAATTTCACAAAAAATACCAGGTAATTTGCATATTGTTGTTACAATTTTGTAAACTAACAAAAAACCGAACACTTCACAACTTTAATTTGTATAATCCATTAATTACTTAACTGTTGATTTAACTAACAAAAGAGAGGGACTGTACATCTTGATCAACAACAGATCTGTTATAACTTATTGCTTTATAGAGGTAACTTTTTCAATCCAGGCAACTCTGTTATTTAAGACTACGGGCGTGTTTTGGGAACATGTATTGGTGCACCGGTGCAGATGATCCGGTGACTTACTCACCGGTAGCGCCCCGGGGCAAGAGTCTTGAGATCCCAGAACGGTTAGTCGCCGGTTTACGGTTCACAACAGATTGTAATTTACTCATCAACCTACTTATAATATTAAAATCAAGCCAACTTGCTCTCACAGAATAAATTACTGATATATTATTGATTATTCACTTATTAACATAATATAATCCATAAAACTGATAAAACATTATCATTTATTCGATGGAAGAATAGATAAAACATATTCCAATACTTGTGTTTGGTTAGTCTATGATGGAACCGCCAACTTGCCATAGCTGCACTCTGCACTCTGCAGGCAGACTGGAGTCCAAGAACCGGCCAACTAGAAGCCGCCAGTGTATTATGCACTGTACAATTTCTCCGGTGCATAAATCTTGCACCGGTGGAGGAAAAAAGAGGAAATAGCTGTCTACTTCCCCAGTAAACTCACCGTTCTCCCAGAACAATGCATTTTCTGCACCGGTTAGTGTTCCCAGAACACGCTCTTTGTTTTATATGTTTGATTACAGAATCACTAGACATATATCGAACTTAACATTCTAAATGTTCTATTTTCAAAGGATAAGTATTTTTACAAAATATTCAGTTTAACAACTGTATACAAACCTTTGACATCTTCAATCTCTTTTCCTGGTTTATATGCACTCAAAAACTCATCACTTGCCTCACATAATTTTACACGCTTTATTTACTTGTTGAAAGACTATAATCCTAACCTTTATCAAATGTTATATGTAATTATTGTATGTTAGCATTATTATGGTTACAAACAAAAACCACTTAGAAACTTCACAATCCCGTATTATTTTTTGAAGATTCCACATACTTTGAATATTTTGTGGTTTCAAAATTTAAAGTCAAAAATGTTTGTTCATACCTTCTGAGAAGCTCTTTAATTCTCACATTTTTTAAATTTTACATGAGATTGATACATAGAAACCTAAGAGTTAAAAAAACCTTAGTTGTTTTGTTAAAAAAAATCAAAGGTTTTTGGTGTCTTCTAAATATAACCTTTGAATAATTGAATCAAGAATTTTTTTTTATTCAAGATATCAAGTTTGGTAAAATATGTGGTTTTAAGAAAAGAAACCAGATAGAGAACCTTTAGTTGTAGAAAACTAAAGATGAGTGGCTTAGATTAATGTTGATAAAACATGTTGTAAATGTTGTTTTTTTTTTTCAAACAAATTATTTCAGAAAAAGCTAGATGTTAAGAAAAGAACTAAAGGGAATAAAGGATAAACAAACTTAAATAAGCCTATTGTAACTTTTCTCACTTCTCTTTTTGATACAAAATTCCCACTTATTTTATTAGCTAACAGTTGAAACTTTCAGTTGGTAAAAAATAACTAAATGTTTTACCATAAGTTAAGGTTTGCTTAGTTAGTACAGCGATTACAAATCAATATCTATAAAAGAGGAACTATGTATGTATGTATGTATATATATATATATATATATATATATATGTACCTTATGGACTCCGAAACCGCTTGACAGTGAAACTTTCAGGCATTATTAAGCATTCAAGGATGGTTTGTGTGAAGTTTGGTGCAGATCCGTCAAAAGGGCTCCGCCCCAGAGGATTTTAAATGGGTCAATGTCAGACTTTTTGAACTACAATGTTTACAAATAAATATTACTAGCTGTTACCCGGCAACTGTTATTTAGGTTTGAATAATCACAACATGCTGTATTAGTCATGATTTGAAATAGTGCCACAATGTTTCCACAGAGTGCAGCACAGAAAACTATTTTACTTTTGAATAAGTCCATATATATTAAAACCCAATCGCAGCAATCTGTGCGCTCAACAACGTTTGGTAAAAGCCCCGGGGCTGTTTTTCCCCTCAACAGGGGTTGCCCTCAACAACCCTTCTTACAACTCTTTAGTTCTTTTCTTAACATCTAGCTTTTTCTGACATAATCTGTTGAGAAAACCCCAACATTTTTTATTAACAAGAACAAAACTCCGAGGTTTAAATATTTATATTCTTGAAATGCACGGTTCAAATACGAACCATTGACCTAATTTCCAACCTTTTACATGAAGATCTAATTTTTGCTCACGCTAAACAGTCACACAAAACCTCAGGGTTACGTTCCGTTTCGCATCTTAAGGAACTGAAAAAATAACCGTAAAGCTTACCAGCAGCCGAACAACAAGGTGAACGTAAACATTGCCTGGGAACACGAGCCGAAGCCCAACCATCGTGGTATCACAGACTAGTCTCCGAGCGCAGGCAGCGGTGCTGAGTAGAGGTGGTGCAAGATGGCGTAGAAGTGTACGGTGGCTGCCGCACCGACGAACATGTGCCAGATGGCGTGGGCGCAGGGCACCAGGCCATCCGACTTGAAGAAGCAAACACCAACAGCGTAGAGGACTCCTCCCAACATCAGCTCCTGAATACCTGAGAACTCGGCCTGCAAGAATATTAGGTTTATTTATTAGATTTGCTACATTCATAGGCCTATGCAATATATAGTATAGGAAAGTGTTACCTTTACTAACTGAAATAACTGTGGAAGGGGGGGAGGGTTGTAATTTATAACGCCTGATACATACATGTAGATTAATCATAATATTTTTAACTACTGCAGGGCTACTGTTTCTTTATACTCCAACTTGTTTGTTTTTTCTTGCAACATTTCACCAATCTTTTAATAATAGCCCTCCCTGGCTGTTCCTGTTCCAACAACTGTCAAGTAACATCAGCTATACCTCAAAGCCCTCACTGACTGACTGACTGACTCACTCATCACTAATTCTCCTGCTTCGTATTTACTTAGAAGGCTGAAATTTGGCACACTGGTTCTTAAGGTATTAAAAAGGAAAACTAAGTAGTTCATATTCTGATCGGACCTTCGGGCTGTTGGTGATTGTTAGATTACAGATTTTTTACTATTGCCAATACAAAACATAATTTTTATGGTAAACATCGAATTTTTATTCTCACTCACATGTTCAATATGTGCCAAGACTGCCAAGGAAGGAGCCGAGCCTAGGAAAATGTAGAAACAAGTCTCCAATGTCTTGTAGCGCTCGTGGAACATCTGCTGGTAGAGAATGCCAAAAGCCGCCAACACCTGGATAAAAATTGAATAAGCATTTAATTTTGTAGATTTTTCATGTTAAAGACGTCGATGCAAACGTCTTTAATTATGGCATTGGCATTTTAAAAGTTTTTTTTAAGGTAACGATTCAAATCTTGGTCTTCAAACTATCTAATATTGACCTTTTATTAAATAGCGTAATTAATTGTTGTTCCAAGGAAATTGGTACCCGTGTACAAAATTGATATCATCTGGGATCAAACTGACAATTGAGATTTGAATGAGAGCATTATAACTAGCTATAAAAGCTCTTCTTCAAAAATTAAAACTTTGAATCTGTTAGGATAAGTTAGAACGGTGAGTATTGAACAAAATATAGATCTTTAAAAAGAAAGTTAAAGAAAGTTAAAATTTTAAATTCTCAGAGATTATTTCAGAGAATTTAAAATTTTAACTTTCCCATCTATTTACATCCTCGAAACTCTATCTTTCCATAGCAAAAATACTTCCTTTTTCTCATCTGCAAAAAATTCCAGGTATCCATTGCGCAATACTTTAAATCTACCAATTCCCCGGCATTCCACTTCTTTCTTTCAAAGAAACTTCCATTACAATTCTGTAAAACTATTTAATAGACTTCCACCTCAATTGAAGGCCGAACAAGATCCAAAAAAGTTTAGAACAGGTCTAAAGTCCATGTTGTTAGATAGATCATTTTACAGCGTCCGTGAATTTCTACTTTAGTGGTCATTCACAAAGTCATGTTCGCATGTTTAGTTATTTAGTTATAGAATTTTTTACAGTAAGGATTTTTTTGTTATTAAGATGTAATGAATTTATTTTTCTTGTACTGACTTGGCTAATGCAAGTATTGTTAATTTGGCCTAATAAATGACTTATTGACTTATTGACTTATTATTAACTTTGAAACCTCTCTAAATTGTTTCAAACGAGATTGTGACTACAATAGAAAAAATAATAGAGAGATAATAGGAAATCTGTGGCAAATGCGTTTTTTGCAGTAAATTACAATTATTAAGATAAAATAAATAAAAGTAAGTAATACACATACATTTTGTAACAGGAATGTTCTAATCAGAAGACAGTATGGTAAATATATAAACTGACTGACTGATATAATAAGTGATGAGGATTAGGGGGCAAGTTACTGGGGGAATCAAGGTCAATAAAATAGCTGAGTTCTAATAATGGGGGTGTACTCACAACCCATCATAATAGATACTGTACAACATAATGTGATGCAAAGAAGTATTATGGTGTACAGTATCATGGGTGTAGTTTTGTTACTAGGGAAATAAAGATCTAAAGATAAAAAAATGGCAGTTAGTTAAGGTTAAGTAGACTAACGTATTAAAAAAAGTAGACTCTCTTTACTTCAATGTCAGAACAAAAGGCTCATTTCATAAAATTTTCTCATTTAAAAAATAGAGATGTGAGAAAAAAACATTTTTTGGTAAACTGTGTTTATATTGGAATTGTTATTGCAAATTAATAACAAGTACAACTTTAAATATAGAATTTTAGAATTTCCTGATTAATAATACTGAAACAAATCGAGTCGTACTGACTGATTATCTGTTAGAGACATAAAAAGATAGGATGGTTTGGTTATGAAAGGTTCATATTATTAATATTATAAATGTGAAAGTTTTGTGTTTGTTTGTTTGAAGTGCAATCACACATTAACTAATGGTCAGATTGGGTTGAAATTTTGTATGATGATAGCTCACATTCCCCACTAACATAAAGACATATTCTTATCCCAAAAATCCTTTCGGGCTCCGCCCCAGTGGCTCTAGAGTTTCCCATGTTAACCTCATGAGTATTCATTTTTAAAAGGTATTAAAGAATTTTGCCAGCTGTTTCAACTACACAAGTTGGTTCTATGACATTTAATAGCATTAAATGGTTATAAGATAAGGTTTACCAACAGGATGCAGCACTATTAATTCTTTTTGCATTTACGACAACAGCAAATTTGAACCATGCAGCAACAAAAAGCTGTGAGAACTTTACTTTTTTCTGTTTTTTAAGTAATTTTTCCTGCGTAGAATTCCTTAATTTGTTTTACATGTCAAGCCTGATCAAAAGCAAGGCAGATAATAAAAACAACACTCCTAGAAGTGTCGACTCACCCAGACTAACCACCAGAGCTCTGCCGCAATACTGTCCTGAGGTAGAGGTCGCAGCATCACCCAGGGGAAGTACGAGGCTGCAATGAACACGTAGATCATGGCTCTGTCTCCTCGATGCAGCAGATCTTTGAGTTGCCTGCAACACAAGGTAAATTAGAATACTTGTATTGGCAAAGCTGCATTACTCTCAAGCAACAATAAAATTGATCATTGCTGATCCAGAACCAATTTACCTGTACTATCATTTTGGAAGAACTAACTTACACTATGACCAGTGGAGAAATGTTGTAAATACAGTAGATATTTTTCAATATTAATAGACAATTATTTTGGGGCGGATCGGGTCAGGTACAAATTATGTACCGGTACCCAGGTCTCGGGTCAAATTCTGGTTGCTTTTGAGAGTACTGTACTATTTTTTTTAAGGAATTGTTATACTAATTTCACTTAATTGTTTGATTTCCATGTTTAGGCCTATAGTAATTTATGTTGAAATATTTGTGTAATTTTTAAATATTTTATATGTTTAAGTGAATTTTTGCTTAAGCTTATTACAGGTCAAATTGGTATAGAGGTCTTATTTTCCCTAAATTTAACTCTTTACAAAATATACATGTTGAAATATTTGTGTAATTTTTAAATATTTTATACGTTTAAGTGAATTTTTGCTTAAGCTTATTACAGGTCAAATTGGTATACAGTAGAGGTCTTATTTTTCCTAAATTTAACTCTTTACAAAATATATTTTTTATTTTATCTAATTTTTAAATGATTTATTTCTCTGTATTATTAAATTCTTAACATGTTGTAAGTAGATTATTCACAAGCACTTGTGACAGGTGATTTTAGTTTTGACATGTGTTTGACGTACGAACATGTGTGCTGCTGTGTTGTTTTTCACAATATTGCTCTCTCATGTAAGAATATAATTTACATTTGTGAGGAATCAATTTTGCCATAGAACAAAAAATATCATAGTCTAGGTTCCTTGTTTTTTTCTCTGCTAAAATGATGCACAAGTTGGTTCTATGATATTAAATAGCATTAAAAAGTTATAAGGTTTACCAACAGGGTGGACAGCACTATTATTTTTTGTTTAATTTATGACAACAGCTAATTTAAGCCACCTAGAAACAAAAAGCCTAGAAACAATGAGAACTTTACTTTTTTCTATAGTTTAGGTGCAGTGGTAGAACATTATGGCTATAGTAGATGTGCTATACTATAGCATACCGTATATATTAAATAAACCACATTTTCTTAAACTGTGTCCTCTCCCATAACTGCAATAAGCATTTTATACTTCTATACGAACCCCGTACGAAGGACGGATACTCTGCTAGTAGTTTCATAATAACAAGTCTATATTTCTGTACACTGAGTCAATAATACTATTGTAACTTAGTAACATTTTACTAGGGTACTAGAGGACCCATGCTGCTCCAGGTTGAAATAAATATCATATCAGAGAAATAATCAAATTTATGATTTTTGATTAATAATACCTTGGAATAGGTACTGATTCAAACAATCTTTAGCTCAAATTAAAGCATATAATTAACTGATTATTTTGAGTCTAAAACATACAAAAAATATAAACAATACTGGGGCTATGGATTTTTAATCATAGAAAAACATTATAAAAAATAATTTTTTTGTTGGTCTTTTACCTTGCGTTTGCTTGAATCGCGTCCGATTTGAATGACTAATAGCTTAAATGAGAGCCGATATTTCACTGAAGGTTCTTAAGGATTATATAATGATAACTGGTGAAATACACAAAAATAAATCAAATTTTTTTTTTTGTTGAATAGTACAGTAGATAAATATATGCCGATGCTTGATGTGAAGTCTGTGCGTGCATACCTTCAATTTGAGACCTCAGTCATGAAAATCGGTCGGGTAGAAGAGCCAAACAAACTCGGAAAAGAAAACTATTTTTTTTTTAAATAGCCTATATAAGTTTTACCAGTACAATTGTTGTTCAACACAGCTTTTATTAAACTTCATTATAATGTATAATTTATTGTGAAATTGTTTTTGTATTCATTTTCATCTACTCAGAGTATTTTAATGTTGATTTAAATTGTGAACATTAACTTTTAAATTGAAATATAAAATATCAACTCTTCATTATATACCATAGGCTATTAAGTGAGTAGACAAGACCCAAACAATTAATTTAAATGAATGAAAAACATTGTTTCTTTGCTAGTTAGGTCAATGATCTATCAAGGTTTATTTTGAATGGAAACAATCGGTGTGGAATTTCTATTTGACCTTCTAACCAATTGACCCTTGAACTTCAATATCACAGTGGCATCAGACAGGCAAATAGATAAATAGCAAGATAGGGCAAACGATCGGCGCTGTTATTAGAAAAATATGGACTATCGTTAGAGGAAAACCGCTTTGGAATTAGAGTACAAAAAAATAATGTAATCTATCTCCAAACAAAACAGATTTGTTATTAAAGAAACATATTGGTAACTATAGTTAATTATTAAATATATACAGGAAGTTTTATTTTAACTAACATTACAAAATTTTATTAAGAAAAAAAATATACAGGGTGATTGAAAAGTCTGGGTACGGCTTAATATTTTGAAAAATAATAAACGTAGACCTACAAAACTTGGAATCAAGTTATAAGGCATATACATCTATCTTAACACATATCCAGTGATCCGCTACCTCCTCAGGGGGACGGCCCGCCAGGAGTCAGAAGAAAATCTTAAATGGAAGCATAGGTCAATATGCACATCAAATTAAAGGTCTTTTTTAGTAGAATACAATGCCGCAAACCGCACTTCAAAAGGTTGATCCTGCGCAAAATGACAGTTGTTCAAAGATTCATTTAATTTACATTGCTATTATACGCTTTCTCCTCAGGGGGCACAGCCCTAGGAATCGGAAGAAAATTTTTAACGTAAGAATAGGTCGATATGCACATCAAATTAAAGGTCTTCACTTTTAGATTACGATGCCGTAAATTCAAGCTCAAAAGAATGCCTGAGTAAAAAATAGCAGCCGTTCAAAGATTCAAAATGGCGGATTCAAGAAATCTTTGAACATCTGCCATTTTGCGCAGGATCAACCTTTTGAAGTGTGGTTTGCGGCATTGTATTCTACTAAAAAAGACCTTTAATTTTATGTTCATATTGACCTATGCTTCCATTTAAGATTTTCTTCTGACTCCTTGTGGGACGTCCCCCTGAAGAGTTATTGAATCACTGAATATGTGTTAAAATAGAGTTTTATGCCCTGTAACTTTGTACCAAGTATTTTAGCTCTATCTGCATTATTTTTTAAAATATTAAGCCGTACCCAGACTTTTCAATCACCCTGTATACCTATTTTAAAAACCGAGACTTCCATGGTCAAATTTAAACACAGTAACAGTTTTCTTAAAATATGCCAAAATATCACATGCAGTGGCGGTTCCAGGAACTTGTCAAGAGGGGGCCTATTGGGGGAGTCCCACACCCCCCAAGAAAAGGGGCTTAGGGTTTATACTTTGAACCATTTTGTATTTTTAAAGCCGTTTTGTGGCTTTCTAAAGCCATTTAATGTCTAGAAATTTATCCGAAAACGTCCTTTACGTTTTTAGGATAAAATGTATGTTTGAATTTATTTTTCCTGGGTTCAATAGGAGGGTTTTAGCCCCTCCCCCCATTGGAACCGACACTGATCACATGCATATTATCAGGTGAAAAAGAGTGAAGAATTAATGAAATCAAAAGGCTTGTGAATGAATAAGAATACAGCTTTGCTACTGATAAGATCATCTGGTTATTTAGCCAGTACCATTTATTAAATTCCCAATGATTAATGGCAAATCAATTAAAACAACATTTAAACAACTTATTCACAACACAAAATGGTCAACAAAAGCAATGATTATTTTTGGCAAGTTATAATTCCAGATATTAATAGCTTAAGGGTAAAATTACTAGAGTCGGGACCACATAAGTTTGCAGTTGAGGGAGGAGCATATTTACCATATGGTTTTGAATTAACCAATGAGAACCGTGCGGTGTTGCCAAATCTAATAATACCAGCTGATTTGAAAATATTGCTTAGTACATTTTAATTAGTGTTGTCAACGGGCGATGTGGCAACGTCGCACTAGACTTGTCTTGTGATTGGCTGCCACCAACTGCAAACTTACGTGGTCCCGACTATAGTTGCAAATTTTAAATGAATAGGTATACCCTACAAGTCTATCAATAATTTATGCTAGCAAAAGGTTGATGTAACAAGACCAAAGTTTGGACTTTTCCTTTTAAAAAAACATCCAAAATTCTAATGACTTATAAACAAAAAACAAAAACAAAAAAATATAATGAAAGTTTGGTAATTTGTGTTTACAAAGTAACAATGAACACAGGAGGAAACAAGATCTCAAAGCCTAATAGATTCTTGTTGATTAATTACTGATAAGGTTAACTGTCAAGGCCTTACTGGCCTCAATCAATTGTGTTTGGAAATTGATCTGTGAGACTCCCAACAATTGGGAAGCCTACTTCAATGCCTCCTATGACTGTAAAGAATTTTGAACTTAAATAAAATGTCCAACTATTATTAACAAACTGGTCTTTAAATAATTTATAATACACTGCAAGTACTGTATATGGCTACAACTTATTTATATAGATTAATAAATCATAGATCATAGACAATAAATCATTCATTTCACTTAATAAACAACAAAGGAATACAGCTTCAACATCTGAACAGCCCCATACAAACAAGTTGTGACTTTTTTTTTAATGTAACTTAAGTCGAAGAAGAGCATACTTAAAACATAAGCATGTGTTATTTTGTCTCAATTATTGCTTTTTACAACTAGTTTGTTTTTATATTTATTAGGTATCTAGACAGTGTCCATATAGTACCACAGCTAATAGTTTTATTGAAATATCCAAACAGTAGGCCTATTTTAATATGTTATGTTACCCTATAGAATAAGGTGTTTGAACTGTTCTAAACTTAAAATGTTACTTAAAAACTACCTGTTAAAACTGTGTTCGTAGATTTAAATTTCAAACATGATATTAAATTAATCCTTAGTTAAGATATTTCCTGACAGTGCCATACATGTAAAGCAGTGTAGCAGTGATAAAACATTCTCATCATTCTACATTAACCAACCTTAAACTTGTCTGCTGATCCATAAAAATGATATGTCTATATGGAATATGTTTGATCTATACCATTAACAAATAATAGAAAAACTCACTGGTTATGGCCGCAGTAGAAGATGGAGTGGAAGACAGTTGAAACAGTAAAACACAGTACGAGAGCAGATCCGTACACAACTGCGGAGAAATACTGCAGTCTGGTGGCTGACCGGTGAATTAACACAGTTCCTGCGTAGATACTCGGTGGGATCCATATCTACAAACAGAACTGACGTAAGAGCTGTTCAGAGTGTTGGTTTAGTGACATTTAGTGTGTCAACAAAATCATTGTTGTTGGCCATATTATCAGGTTGGAAAAATTATACAAATGTGCCAAGTTCTAAACGTAATATTGTATATTTCCATACAAAATACAAGATACAAAAAATTAAAATATTGTCTTGTGGAAAAAAGTGAAAACAGCCTTTGTATGAGAAACCGCTTTATCTAAAACTTGTAAAATATGTGTTTTTAGCATGTGGGTAGGGTGTGCTATGTAAATTGTGACGATAAATACAGGTTCAAAATGTAGAGTAGATTAAAGTTAAGTAGAACATGGCTTGCAACGTAGCAAAAATGATGATAGGCTAGTAAATAGTGCCTTAAGTAGCCTATGGTAAAACTCGCCAAAAAACGCACCTCAGTAAACCGAGGTTGACTGAAACCATAATACAAAACCAATTGGAAAAGTGGCGTAGGTGATAAGCCATGCTAGGCTTCAATCAATATCACAGCAAACACTTTTGCAATTAAGTTAAAAATACAATTGTCGATTAATTTAGAAAATAGTTTTTGAGTAAACGTCGTAGATTTTAAAATGAAATGTTGGGGATCTTTTTGGACCAAAATTCTTTAAAGTTTAATGGTTGGTTACTCGTAACCGAAAAAATATGTTATCCAAAATGACCTCACTCCTTTTATTTCGTCCACCGAACCCAGTAAAGTGTTTATTATAACCAATTCCTTTCAACTATTAGGTCTACCTAGTAGTTAAATTTAATAGTGTTAAGTTTTATCAATCAAAAATTCTTAAGCCCTAGTTCCAAAGATCCAAACAGAACAAATTGCCTTTCAAAAAATTATACAAAACACCTAAGTTACACAAACTTTAAAACCAAACAATAAAAAAGTTGATAATAAGGGTACAGTAGGCTACTTGAAGCACAAACTTGTTGTAGGCCTACTTGAAACACAAACTTACACCATGGGTGATGATGTTGGCGACATGTTCGATGGTGGTTGGAACATAGGCGCATCCAGGGCTGGCTCGGGAGTTCTTCCACTTCACCCTAACAATATAAAATATGAATTTAAAAACTGAATATGTGTTGAAAAAACCAAACATATGACTCATACACTTTTACAGAGTACTTTTTATACTTATAGTTTTGATTTAAGTGCATAAGTTAATAAAGCTGTCCATAAATGAAATTCTCAATCAAACTCCTGAAGATACCACCCTTTTAACAAAATGGGAGTGTCCTGAACATGTATTTTACCTGGCGTTCAGGGACACTTTTATATGGGGGGGAGGAATGGTATAGGTAGTACAAACCTGAGATACGGTGTTCTTGAGAAGAGGAGGCGAGTGAAAATTTAAAAACGTACGTTTTCAAGAAAAGCACTTTATAATAATTTTTTTCTCTTTTTCAGAACTTTTAGCGAATTTCCCTATAGGGAAGTAGCTATTACCGTAGGTCTCATGGTAAGACCTAAGCCCGGGACCGATTTACTTTTTCATTTTGATGTCCCCAGAGGCCAAAAACACCATTCGTTCAAATTTTTATATATCTATATCTATATATATATATATATATATATATATATATGTGTCCATCCGCACGATAACTTGAGTAATTTTTGTCCGATTTTCATAAAATTTGGTTTAAAGGTGTAAGGCGGGATAAACTTGAATGAGTTCGCGAACCAGCATGATCGGACTATGGGAACGGGTGTTTATGGGGGGTTTTATGGGGTAAAAATAGGTTTTTCCCATTTTTGACCATAAAACACAAAATTTCACAATTTCTTTTTAAACCATTTTGTAGAGCTTAAAAAAACAAATAATTTAGTATATTGAAGCGTTATAATGCGCCTAACTGTTTCGGAGAAAATTCAAAAAAATTGTAATTTTAAATTCCCATGTTATTCTTATGGAGAATAAGTCAACTGTTGTAGTTTGCTTGTTTATGAACATATTTTGATCAAATTTGGAAAATACATTTTGTACTAAACCACAGTACTTTTTAACATTTTACATTTAAAAAAATTTTTACCCTCCCTGTTGCAGCAAACCTAAGTACTCACTAAACTAATTCTGTTTAAATAGGGAATAAGTGTGATATTTTTAAGGAGACATTTTAGTTTAAATCCAATCAGGCAAATAGAAATTCGCTAAGTCTGCAGGTTTGCTGCGGCGGGGTATTTTTTTTATTTCATTGCCGTTTGACGTTTCATAAAATGTCTGTGGTAACGCAACATCTTTGGTGGTTTTTTATTTTAATACGGTACAGCATCTGTGACGGAAAAATTCAAAATTCCGTCACGACCATAAAGAACGTAAAAATTAATATTAAAAATAGTTAGGCCTAATGGTATTTTTATAAATATGTTTTGATGTAAATAGATTTAGTTTTAGGGCCATTTTGCAATCAACAGTTCAAGAAGCTTTTGTTGCATTTGGTATTAAAAAAAAAAAATTGAAGTTTGTATAGCTCCGAACAAACTTTCCCGATATATGAAAAACATGTATCTTTTTAAAGAGGCGTACTTCTTGTGTGTATAAAACATTGGAATATGATGATTTATCAATTTTGGAATTTTTTTATCAACGTTGTGGTCAGGGAGAAGTGTTACTGTCTGGAATTGGTGATTAACGAGAATAGCTATATTGTTTATTTAGGTTTTCCCTCCACTACTCTTATTATTATAATATTCCACAAGACTTGATAAACCATAATTAATTTTTTTTATGCAATAGTTTTACACATAACCCCTAGATACACTATAGGCCTAAGCTTTAACTTATATGAGGCAATAAAGATACCTGTCTAAAGTATAATAAAGTAAAGTATAATAAAGATACGCGGTCTATGTAAAAATAGTTAAAAATCTATTTTATTTACATCCTTCAATTAATTTTAGGCCTACTGTTATGAGGAAAATTTTAGTTGCAATGAAACTAAACTGTGCAATTTACAATGAAATTAAAATTTATTTTCACCACCATAACACAGTAAGCTTACAATTGATAAAGCTATTTTGGTCGTCAAAAAACCTGTGATGGTTTTGATGCCCTGGTTGTGAAATCACGTATTATTTGGCTCTGTTTTGATGGCAGCCTTACACCTCATGTTTGAGGAGGCAAAGTGGATTTCTAGGTTAACGTAGCAATTAAAATATCGTATCAACAAAAATTAACACCATGTCTACTTTATTACATGACTACGTACGGTCGTGGAAACACCAAAATTACAAAAAGTACAAATAAGTTACCTATATTAATCTTGTACTTCATTTTTTTACTGGAAAACCAACGGCACAACAAAACTAATGCACATCCCGAACCAGTCTCTAAAAAAACCAACTGCATGAAGTTATCGCTGCCAGGATTGCCACTGTCGTGTTCCAAAGTTGCAAATTTTGCCATTATGGTCGGGACGTCAAATTAAGGGACAGACTTATCTTGTCATGGTAGTCAGTTTGAAATGAAAACAAAATTATTATATGCTCCTTTTTTGTAAGTTTAATTTAATTATTGTCTAAAAACAGCGTGAAAGTTGAAAAATGTAGACCTACCATAGGGGCACGTGATGGTCGTGAATTTTTAAGAGACTTTAAAATACGAAAAAAATACCTAGAACCTTCTTAAAACCAAATAAATGTTTGTAAGTTAACATGTTGCCCCAATCCCAAAACGGGTAAACTTCCATATCTGTTGGCACCGAATCTGTTAACCGAATGAGTAATATTGATTATTTGATTGTTTAATTCGATATATCGTTTGGTTCAATCGATATTTTAATTCGGTTGTTTGTGCCAACAGATATGGAAGTGTAGGTACCCAAAACACATAATAACTTGGGACTGTAATAGACTACAAATAGGTACAGTATCTAAGTACGAAGTAAAAGGTCAGGGACATTAAAACGTAGGCCTATGTTTCAAAATTTTCACTCAGGCCTTTATCAAACCCAACAAGAATAGTTTAATTAGTATCGCTACATATTTTTAAATATGGTCACTGTCTAAGAGAACACTTTGGGAAAATACAAATTGCAGAAAAAAGAGACTATAGATTCCTTTTAATTTAAGTTAGCTAGGTGATTAAAATCACGTATTACATATACTATAAGTATTTAAATTCTTTGTATCATTACCGGTATACAGATTATAGCCCAAGAATCTATTCTACTTAACTTAAATTAGTTAAAAGTAATTCATTTTTTATAGGTGTTGGATAGGTTCCAAGTGCTTACCCTTTTGGCAGAAGCCATCCTAGAAACTTAAAGGGTTCTGATGCCCAAGAGGGCAGAAGGTTAAAAATGGTCATTTTAATTTAATTGAGCAGAATATGGAGGTAAACTTCTGCTCTGGTCCGTTGGTACTAGGGTATTGATTTTCTCATAGTTGTATAATCATTTTCGCACATAAACATGCCTCGTATGTCGTTATTTAATTAAGCATGAGGCTGAAACCTTTTAAAATCTTGAGGTGCTTTATTTAGTCCAAGGTTACTCTAATAGAAGGCTTATTATCCAATCCACGACCAAATACTTTAGAACTGTTTTACTTCATAACTATCGCACTTCTACCACATTTGGAACAGAATAATATTTTATCTAAAAATTATCACAACAAAAGTTGCAGTGTTTGTTGTAACTTAAAACTTAAAATCACAATGAAGATTTTATTAAATTAAATTGCAAGTTAGTATAAAGAGACCCCATACACAACATCTTAAGCTGGAGCCGACAGCGTAACATAAACTAACAATGACATTATTGGGAATTGTGACGAATAAACACAATACAATGAACTAACAGCAACAGCAGTGAGCAGACAGCACTGGGAGGGGATGAAACTGCAACTGACGACATTGAACTAACTGACAGTCAGTGTTGCCAAGCTATTGAACCAACAATCTAAATTGTAACATTGATATACTACTAGGGTGGTCTGCCGTTACACTTTAGACGCATAAATGAGCGAAGCATTATTTAAAGATTGTCAATGGCTAATCACTAATGGTTATGTCAAAATAGAATGGGTTATTTGCCTTCAGCCAAATAAGTGCTTGCTGTAGTTTTTTGCGTCGAACTTTGAAATCGATATGGCCAAAGACGCCTTGACGTTGGACATTGAGGACTTTTAAGTTTTCGGGCAGTGTAGGTAAGACAGATGCTATTTCATTAATAGTATCTTGCTCAACATTAATGATGTTAGTTACCTTTGTAGTGAAACCATCTGAAGGCCATCCTGACCATTTGCTTGTACTTTGTAAATGCGCATAGCGGGATGTACTCGTGCAATCAACATTTGTTCTACAATCGTCAGGTCAGTTAATTCGTTCGGGACACTTGACACATCCATATTATTTAACGCCGTGAATTTAGTTGCATTTGAACGACAACGCGAACAAATCGGTGATTGGTCTGAGGCTGTTAGTTGTTGGCGATGACAGTTAGTGCAAGTGTAAAATTTTAGTGCATCTAATTCATGTTGGAATTGATTAGCTAACTGCCTATCATTATCAGTTTCTTCCGCCACTGCTTCATCTGGTTCTTCTTGTTCACGACGCCACTGTCTTACAATATTTGCATTATTGGTGCGACGACCAATATTACGACGTGGCCAAATGTTGTTTGAGGCATGCTCAAAACAAATATAGCAAAACTGTTACTTCCATTGATAAAATGTTACATTCCAACTTTAACCTAGGATGAAAGTAAACATTGAAATGTAAACAAAACAGTTACAAACAATTTACGTTTGTCTTATTTAGTCATAAAACCCAATATAATTTTTCTTTCAACTTACATTAAAATAACAAGCGAAATTGCGAGGCCCGTAAAAAAAATCCAGAAGGAAATTTTCAAATATTTTTTACCAAAACATTGTGCTCAGTATTCTGTAGCTGTTGGCCAAATTTCATATCAATTGGTCAAGCCATTACATTCTGATGCTCTTACAAAGAAGTTACAAAGTGAGGGAAAGTGAGCTTCGCTCGCTCTGCTCAACTAGTAATGAATGTGGAATACACTTGATCACTCACTTTATTGAGATTGACTTCATGTAAATATTTATGGCTAAAATACCTATTAATTCACAATTTTCTTTCAACGATCGACTTATGTGTTTTGCTTGATGGCTCCTAATGGCAACGATACAGAGAACTGCGAATCACTGTTGATCAGTAACGGATTCACATCACTAAATAAAACTATAAACTTATATCTATGTTTAATCTATGATAAAACCAGTGCACCAAAAGTAGGAAGGCTCTGATTGAAAAAGTACACACATAGAATAGACTAATTAAATATTTGGAAATACTGTATGGTAAACGCTCGATGATTGTGGATATTAAACCGAGTCCCGCAAGGTCCAATTCTTGGACCAGTTTTATTTTTAATTTTAATTAATGATGTTAGCCAATATGTAAATTATTTTTCTTGTGTTTATGCTGACGACACTTCCTTGGTTTCATGTCATAGTAACTCAGGATGCTCTTATTCATAATCTCAGATTAACTTTCAGAAGGTTGTTCACTGGTTCACAGTAAAATGGTCTCTTTATTAATGAGGATAAAAGTATAAAACATATAGTCAATGATAAAACTAAAAGAATGTTGGTGTCCTTAAACAATGAAATGTGTAATGTTGATTGTTCTGACAGTGTAAATCTGCTTGGAGTTATTATAGATAGTAACTTAAATTAAAGTGGCAAGCCCGTACAGATTTTGTGTGTAAAAAATTGTTTGAGTACCGAGTTTGTTGTTTATTGTTGAGTAATTTAAAGAGATTTTGTGCCTATGCCTATACATACCTTAGGATGGAATCATACTTTGCATATTATGATAGTATTTTGAGATCATTTGGTGAAACAGTATATGCATTAATAGATGTTTTATTAAACCCTTAGTAGAGAAACAACTTCTGATTTTTCGGAAGTTAGTATTTTTTGCTAAAAAGACGAACTTCCGATAAATTGGCAGAGGTACACTTAACATAAAATTTTTTGCTCTTTCAATGACTTTTTTCATGACTTCATCAAGTTCTTTCTCATCTACGCCACTAATAAGCAAATCGTCAAAATATAACTTAAACCATAGATAAAACATAAACCTTTGATACCACTGAATAATCAGGGGGTTTCAGATTTGTATCCTGTAAATTTCATATAGTATGACCAATACTTTTCAATCACTAATGCTTCTATGATAAACCAACTATGTAGTGCTTTAATATAGTATATAACGCTTTGTAGGTATTTGTCCAGAAATGTGACTGGAGGAATTTGTTTTGCAATTTTCATTATCTGCCTGTTTTTAAACATTCAGGTGGCTATGACGTCACCTTTCTTTGGATCGTCGTCGGGGTCGGGTGAGACAAAACAGAAAGTCAACTCAACCTGTGTATCTGTCAGCCATTAAGGAATACGAATTATTTTTCTGCTTATTGTTGAATTTCTACCTTATTTTCGTAATTACTCTGGTATTTAAAATCGTAAAAGATAAAAAATTTGGTCTGAAAATAAATTTGAGTGCTTTTGTTCATCCGACTCTAAGCTAATAGGTAAGTCTCAAGCGCTTGTTCTTAGACGATTATTGATTGTGTCAAAACCAGAACTAGGCTACTGTAACTGTCATTTTACAATCATTGAATCATTCTTTAACCTACGTTTTTCAGTGACATGTATGTGTATATTTAGTGGTGGGTCCTTAGGTTTTAACTAATATTAGTTAGTTGGAAACTGCTAGAGGTAGGCTAGGTGCACACTAAAATATTTTCATGGGTTGAGTAAATTATTGTAAAGGTTGTGAATAGTGTAGGATAATATGTTTATAAGAGAAAACCTACAAGGACATCCTAAGAATGTCTTAGCCTATGCAAATACAAATGGCCAGTCCTTTGGAATTTTTTGTTTACTTATCTAAGTTATGCATGGTTGATAGCCTAGTAAGGCCCTTCTACAGCCTTAAAGAATATTTTGAAGCAGACTTAAGCTCTATCAATTTTGCATAATGTTTCTAGTTTTTTTTTCTAAAATAGCCACTCTTATTTATTTTTGTAGAATGAACACCAATTTTGTATGTTTGCTTGGCTGCACTTTACTTTAGGTCCTACACTCATTCGAATGAAAATATCGATTAGGTATTCGATTGTTTCATTCGATATATCGTTTGGTTAGTTAGGTTAGGTTAACCTTACCTAACTAACCAAACAATTTATCGATCAACATTTTCATTTGAATGAGTGTAGGGCCCAAAGTAAAGTGCAGCTGTTTGCTTTAGTGTAGGGTAGCATGTTTTACTATTGTACTTATGACCGTCTTGTGCATTTCAAGCGTCCATGACAAGATCATCAGCATGTAATTTTGCCTAAAGATCAATAAATGTCTTATGTCTTGAGTACTGTATCGATGTAACTTAGGCCTATTGTGAGTTAAAAAGGCAAAACGGAACTTTTTTTAACCTACTCCTAATTTGTAACTTTAATACAGCGACACACCTGACTTATGGTAAATCTTATATAAGTTAAATAACTTTTTAATGCTTTTGCATATCACAGGACCAACTTTTTTTAGTTGAAACAGCTGACTATAAATTCTTTAATTCTATTCAAATATGAATAGCCTACTCATAAGGTTAACATGAAATGAAATGAAATATTATTTATTTATACAGGCAAAAGCGTGGGGAACTACAGAGCCACTGGGGCGGAGCACTAAAGATTTTTGAGATAACAATATGCCTATAAGTTTATCGGGAATGTAAGCTATCATCATGCCAAATTTCAGCCTAATCCGTCCAGTAGTTAATGCGTGATTGAACTTCAAACAAACAAACACGCAAAATTTCACATTTATAATATTAGTAAGATTAACAGCTGGTAATTAAGTTATTAGTATAAATGCCTCCAAACGAATTTTTAATTTTGATGTCTAACTTTAAGTTAGGCCTATAGTTTTTTACCTCCTGATTCCAAATACAATTATTTTTCACCGCTGATGAGTATTTCTCAAGATATCGCTGTAAAAATATACAACATTACAATAAACAAGGTAGGACAGATGACATTTACAAGTGGAATGAACTATGGGCAAAGTAAGCCAACAGCTGATTGTTTTCTATCATAGTCGTCAAGCAAATTGAAGTGACGACTTTATTACCTTAACTCTGATTCTGCAGTTTGAAAATCACCTGAGGATTAAGTTAGACTTTTCACTTTCTAAGACCAATAAGTTAGCCCTAACACATTTAATACAATTTATTATTGTTAGGTACGGTACCAGTATTTTATTCCTATTAATGATTTATATTTCACCGTTTAGAAATTACATAATAAAATGGTGCTATTCTAACATAACCTTACCAAACCAAACCTCTAAAACTTTAGCAAACTCCTTTTGATGTCAGAAAAGGCATGTCAGGGTGGTTGGCCGTGCTTTATGTGAAGTGTTTTGAAGTAAGGTTAGATTAGGAAGGTAAAGTTTAGGTTATAATGAATTGAGGTGATAGTTTATGTCACCTGTAGACTGTTTTTGTAAAATTAAATCTCTGAGAAAAAACACTTCAAATTACTATTTCAAAAATGCTGCTTAGTGACCTACCACCCTGACATGCCTAAATAAGAACTTGGCTAAGTCCATATAATTAGCCCATACATCTCCATAATACCATAATATGACAAAATTTGTTTGATGGAAAACATTATTGGCTACAGAATCACTTGAAATGTTTCTGTAGTCAACGATGTTATTATGTTTAATCAACGATGTTATTCTTCTCATCTACCATGTTACTCTCTTCACACAGCACAGTATGAGTGTTATTGTTTTGTGTTCTAGTTGTAGTGTGAAGTAAAATGACGTCACTAGGCCTATTGCCGAATGACAGAATCAGAGTGAGTAGATAAAGTGCAAAAGTTGTTACTTCCAGTTGCTTTTTGTGTGGTTGAAAACAGTCAGCTGTAGGCTTAGTTAACCAACAGTTCATTCCACTTGTCTTGTAAATGTCATCCACCCTACCTTGTTTATAATAATGTTGTTTATTTTTACATCGATATCTTGAGAAATATTCATTCAGCGGTGAAAAATAATGGTATATTTGGATTCAGGAGTGTATAAAACTATAAAGTAAGATAATAAATACCTTAAAGGCCTACCTTTTAGCGACTTTCCCTATAGGGAAGTAGCTAAGCTATTACCGTAGGTCTCATGGTAAGACCTAGGCCCGGGACTGATATGGGAACAGGGGTTTATGGGGGGTTTTATGGGGTAAAAATAGGTTTTTCCCATTTTTGACCCTTAAAACACAAAGTTTCACAATTTCTTTCTAAACCATTTTGTAGAGCTTAAAAAAACAAATAATTTAGTATATTAAAGTGTTATTATGCGCCTAATTGTTACGGAGAAAATTAAAAAAAAATTGTAATTTTAAAATTCCCATGTTATTCTTATGGAGAATAAGTCAACTGTTGTAGTATGCTTGTTTATGAACATATTTTGATCAAATTTGGAAAATACATTATTTTTTACTAAACTACAGTAGGCTACCTTTTAACATTTGACATTAAAAAAAAAACTTTTTTACCCTCCCTGTTGCAGCAAACCTAAGTACTCGTTAAACTATAATTCTGTTTAAATAGGGAATAAATGTGATATTTTTAAAGAGACATTTTAGTGTATATCCAATCAGGCAAATGGAAATTCGCTAAGGCTGCAGGTTTGCTGCGGCGGGGGTATTGTAAAACTACAAAAACTCATTATATTTTTAGGCAAAGCCTAACTTACCATTGCTTAATGAACAGTGTGCTTCATGTTATAGATCGGTTAGCGTTTTAATCAGGCCTATTGATCTTTGATATCTTCTATTTTACATAGTCCATTATCCTGTCATTTTTGGTGACATGACACGATACTGTAGGTTTGACCTACTACTCATACAGTCACGTTTTTCGAAAGTTTTAGTTTTTTAAACCCTTTTATTTTGAGTAAAATGTTCATAGAGTTTAATATTTGCCAAGCAATAGCCAGATTGTAAAAATAAACAAAAATAGGCCTATGTTTGTTGTAGGAAAACAAAAATATCGATATATATATATAAATCATTGATGATAATAAGAAAAGTTTCCTTTAACAAAAAAGTACCATTTAATGTCAACAGTCTCTAACCTCTGCTTCAACATATAGGCTACATTTTTAAATAGTTAGGAATGCTATGCTTCAAGATAGGTGTACAGTAGTCGCAGCTAGTCTGGAACGGGGGGTGTAGAGGGGCTCAGTGTTTATTGCTCATTTCCAAAAACATCTGGCCCACACGGCAAGCTGTCAGTGCAGCGGCTGAGGGTTGTGAGCTGTGGGTGTGAGCGAGCTATAATTCTCAGGACGGCTAGTACACAAGGGTCCCCGTGCCCAGACTAACAGTGACTACTGTACAGTAGAACCCCGGTTACCGGTAACTGAAATAAAGGGGGAGAGCTGTTTCGGATAACCAATTTTTTGGTTAACCCGTCATATGCTAAAAATAGCCTATGTATTACCGCAGTAAGTTGGAAAATAAATTTAAAATAATGTATATACAGTATAATACAGTAAACTTATTTCAGGGTTTAGTTACAGAAATGTTATTAATGGGTTAGAAAAAAAATTAAACTAAACAACTTAAGTTACTAAAGCATTCCTATTACTTATATTTTAGACCTGTATTATTTTATTGAACCGTTTTTGTTGACCCGGGTTTTGGTTAATCCAGGTTTTGGTTAACCCGGGTTCTACTGTAGGCTATATTATTTAGTTTTATTAGTTTTTTTGTCTGCATAGGAGTTGACCATGGCGACATTCTCCGAAAAAGACGAAGATGCGAATTGGAAAAGAAAATATGAGGAGGCTGAAAGGGATTTACAGGACTTCCAGGAAAGTTCTCGGCTGATTGAGAAAGAGTTGGAGATGTCTCTAGACCAGGCAGAACAACAAATACGAGAGTTGAGATCAAAGTGCAACAGGCTTCAGTTTGAAAATGAGACACTTAGGGTAAGTTTTACAGTCTTGTAAACTCGTCTACATCTGAACTAGAAGGGTGCAGAGTTTAAGAAATGACAGATTAATAACCAAATTTATTTTACTTATATAGGCCTAGGCTATGTTGAGATACTACTGTGCAGTTATTATTTCATAGTATATAAATAAGTTAGGCTAACATAAATAAATTCAATTGGTTGAGGAAATACACAACATATTTTTTCATTAAAATTCAAGGTTAAGTTACTGACTAACTAGAAGTCTTGATTGTATTTTATTTAATTTTATTGTTTTTTATTGTGATGATTGTTATGAACTAGGCCTATTTAGTTTTATGACAATAAATAATTTAAATTTAATTTCTTCCCGTGAGGTATATGGCTCATATGTAGGCTACCAAACTCAGTTTTCAACTAGGCCTAGTGAAATAAGACAATGTGTTAAACTGTTGAATCTATTGAGTTCTGTAGTTTGCTACAGGTTTCACCAGTGTAAGATTATCTGGAACTTAAATTTTGTATGAGTTTGCCTTGAAAACCTGACTGGTGAGTTAACAGATTTTGTAGAACTTACATCAGTGTCAGCCACCTATATATTATTATATATATTGTAGTTACCTAATACATAGTTTTTAACTCCAATCGATATCTGGCATCTACTTCATAACACCCAAAAAATAAAGAGGGGTTTGCAACTACCGTATCATCCTAAACCGACTGGCTGCGGCAAGATGGGATAAGCTAAAAGGTTAGGTATAGTTCCGCCAAAATTTCTGGGTGCGCTAGCAGAACCGGTCGGGTCTAGGCAAGAGGGTTGGTGGGGGTACTTTGTGAAAACATCTGTGTCTTCACCCCTACCCCCAGCACTGCCAATTAGCCTAATCCGCACCCATACGTTTATAGTGCGGCTAGTATTGAACTGTCCGTACGCACTGTTTTGGCTTAACTGTAACAAAGAAAATAATGAAAACCATTATAAAAATATCAAACCAAGGTAAACTTCTCTAAATACTATGGTGTGGGTGAGGAGAACATACCTAGCTTTGCTTAGGCATCTGCAAGGCTTCCAGATTGAACTCTTGAGTCATCAATTGTATTACAATTATTAATAAGTTAAATCCATAGACCAGCTTTCGGATCGACCCCTGGATTTTATCGACTCCTTCTGGTCACTCTGGGGAAGAAATTTGAGTGTGGCTGGTTTTAGGGGTAGGCCTTGCCTGTTTTTTAAATATAATTTTATTCCCCCTGAAATTTATGTCAAAAAAGAGCAATAAATTACTGAGCTTGTGGGAGTTTCCGTGATTGTAAGATGTTATCACGGATGTTGCAATGATTAGTAAATAATCACACATTAAGCAGCAATGGCAAAAGACAAAAGATGATAACAGATGATGCCGCAATTGAAGATTATAATCACAGTTATTGTTACAACTACATTGAGTGTTAATATAGGATAGTAGATTCTAGAGATATCACAGATATTACCGTGATAGCAGGAAATCATCTTAAGCACTGCCATGATTATGCTGGAGAAGATCTTGATGTAGCAGTCCAGTCGCCATCATCATTTAAAAAAAGGATAAAAATGATAAAAAGGAATTAGACTTACTACGGATGTGTAGTTGTTGGCTGTGAGAGTGTAGATATTACTGTGTTTGCTCTCTTACTTACAGACTAGAAGAAGTACAGTTGAACCTCTATAAGACGAATTTCAAGGGGTACGGGAAAAATTCGTACTATAGAGGTATTCTTAATAAAGAGGGTCTTTTATCGAGGTTTAATGCTGCTGTTATTCTTCTTGTATTGTTTTCTCCTCGCTCCAAGGTTTCTCCAAACAATGACTGAGGAAGGAGGAGGGATGGGTGGGGGTTTCATGTTGAGACAAGCTTCTGTTTGTTTTGAAAACTACATACTATGGAGGTTAAGATTATGATAAATTCGTCTTATAGAGGTCACGTTCGTCTTGTAGAGGTTTTGTGCTAAGAATATTCGTTGTATAGAGGTTAATCAGTCCTAGCCCATGTCACAAACAAATTCGTCTTATGGAGGTTTTTAACTTAATTACTACGTTGTATAGAGGTGTTTTTAGCATTGACCTATATGAAAGTGTCAAGGGGATTAAAAAAAATTATATACCTACTATATAAGTCTCATCGAGGAATTCGTTTTATCGAGGTTCGTACAAACGAGGTTCAACTGTACTCTGTTATTTTCTTAAAGATAACCGTTGCAAATGCTCTAGTTTGATTTGGTATCAAATCAACACAATTTAAAACCAAATTTTACCTCACCTTCACAGATTTTAATGACATTTGGTAAACTAGTTAAACCCATAGAGACTACTAAAAATCACAAATTTAATCTTAATATCTCAATTAGTTTCAAAATTATGTCCCGTTAAACGATACAAATAAATGCTCCTAAACGACCTGTTTACAAAGCTTAAACTACTCTAGCACCTCTAACAATCAAGATAGGAGGTGAGAGTGGTGTCATTTTGCAGAATTTTGTAAGCCCTTTATAGGCCTATAGTATTATATAATACTATAGGCTAGTGGTCGTAGTAAAAAATATTTTCCAAATTAAAAATTAAATTGATTGTACCTTTTTTTTAATGCAACACATTAAAAGATTTTCGAACAAATCCTCAAATTGCCTTTGCATAGTTGTTTGATTATTTGTTTAGGGCTATTGATTATTATTTAGTTGTATTATTTGATGGATAAATTTAATAATGGGATCTTAGGTGTAATATATTGGAATCAGCTGATAATTTGGTTTTATGTTTATTATGAAAATGTAAACAAATAATGTTATATTTTGTTCTATGATTAAATGAGTTTAAGTTAGTTCTTGATTTTATTTCACTGGCGACGATGAGTAAAAAACGAACCCAAAGATGTGAAGATATTGGTTGGAACAATAAAGAAGAGGTGCGAAAGAGAATGGAAAAGTTTTCAATAGAACCCTATGATGAAAAATTGAACTGGGAGGATTATGAAGCTCACTTCCAATTGATGTGCAAGGTAAAGGGATTGGGTGATGACAGTGATGAAACTGAGGAGGCCAGAAGGGATCTTCTTCTAGCATATGTTGGACCTGTACCCCTCAAAAAGGTATCTAATTTCGTTTTACCTAGGCAAATTTATGACATACCAATGACTGAACTGCTTGATACATTTCGGTGTGTTTATAAACCTAGTAAAACAATCTTTGCAGCGAGACTAGACTTTGAAAAATGTGTGAGAGGAAATGATGAGAGTTTTTCAAATTTCGTCTTACGTTTAAAAGAGTTAGCCTCCTACTGTAAATACGACAGGTATTTTGAGGAAAGAGTAAGGGATAGATTTGCTGGTGGCGTTAACTTTCCACAGTTTGAAGTTGAAATCAGGCAAAGGTGGCCAGAAGGCATAAATAAAGATGGTTCACGTTTAACTTTAAATGAGTTGGTAGATTTAGCTGAAGCGATGGATAGAGCTAAGCGGGAAATGAATATTTTAGATGAAGCTATGCCTGTAATTAACAAGGTACATAGCTATGATAAGAAAAATAGATATTCGGCAAAAGAAACCTACAGCCATTCTACAGAAGATTGTAATCAGTGTGGACTAGTACACAGTGGAGAATTTTGTCCAGCTCAAAAGTCTAAGTGTTTTTCATGTGGAAGGCAAGGTCATTTCTCACGACAATGTGGAACCAAAAAGACAAAACAATGTCACTTCTGTGGGAAAATGGGTCATTTTCCGCGACATTGTCGTTCAAAAAAGGCCTATTTGAACCAAATCAACGACACAGACATAAAATCTGAGGAAGAAGAGGTACAGTTAGGAATTTCTGAACTTAAACCTAATAGGAAGATCCCAAGAGCACAAATTAATGTTACCCTAAATGAAGTAACAACAACCATGGAGTTTGATTCAGGAGCTAGAGCATCGATGATTGATGCACCCCTGTGGAAACAAATAGGATCACCAAATTTGAGGGCATGTAAAACAAAATTTGTCGCTTATGGAAACAATACCCTGGATGTTTTAGGAGAGTGTGAAGCTAATGTTAAAGTTGATGGACAGATTAGGAAACTTAAGGCTGCTGTGGTAAATGGAAACGAATCTCCTTTGTTTGGATTACCATGGATGCTTGCCTTCAACATGAAATTACCACCTAGTGTTACGATTCGTAAGTTGGATAACACCAATAAAGATGAAAATGCTTCTACAGTAACCGAAGAGGAAATTAACCAAGTTATTTCTGAGTTTAGTGATGTATTTAAGAAAGAATTGGGAACCATTAAAGGATATCAGGCGAAGATACATGTTAAGAGTGACTCAGAGCCTAGGTGTTTTCCTGCTCGCAGAGTGCCTTTTCCACTAAGAAGTAGAGTTGAGCAAGAACTAAACAGACTGGTAAGTGACGGTGTTATAGAAAAGGTAGACCCTTCCAAAACTCCTATCGAATGGGCAACACCAACAGTAAATGTTGAGAAGGAAAATGGCACAATTAGAATATGTGGAGATTTTCGGGTAACCTTAAACCCAAACATTGTTACCCATACAACACTTTTGCCAACTTTTGAGGAACTGACGAATAAAGTATCTCGAGGGAAGCAATATTCAGTTGTTGACTTGAGAGATGCATATCTCCAAATGGAAGTATCAGAGGAAGACAGAAAATATCTGGTAATATCCACGCACGTTGGATACTATAGATACAAGAGACTACCATTTGGTATAACCTCCAGCCCAGGTATCTTTCAGGAATACATGGAGAAGCTCCTTGAAGGCATACCACAAGTGGGGGTACTTCTAGATGATGTAATCATTACGGGCCGAAACAAAGAAGAACACCTCATGAACTTAAAGGAAGTATTAAAACGAATGAGTAACGCAGGGCTAAAAGCGAAGAAAGAAAAATGTAGATTCATGCAGAATTCAGTCACCTATCTTGGACACATTATCGATGAACAGGGTATCCATCCAACAAAAGAGAAGATCGAAGCAATACAAAAGGCACCTAAACCTACAAATGTCAAACAGCTTAGGTCTTTTTTAGGATCCATAAACTATTATGAAAGGTTTATCCCTAGGTTGCATGCGCTGTGCTCAAGGTTACATCGACTTACTAGCAACAGATCAAAATGGATCTGGACAGAGAAAGAAGATGAAGTATATACAAAGGTCAAAATGATTCTTTCGGAAGAAGACACAGTTGTTCCATATGATGAATCCAAACCTCTAGTGTTGGTGTGTGATGCGTCCGAAGACGGTCTTGGGAGTGTCTTAATGCACAAGTGTGAAGATGGTCTGGAAAAACCAATCGCGTATGCTAGCAGAACTCTTTCAGATGCTGAGAAAAGATACTCGAATATTGATCGAGAAGCACTTGCAATTTTATTTGCTGTAAGAAAGTTTCACCAATATGTATAAGGACGAAGCTTCACACTTGTCACCGATCATAAACCCCTTCAAAGAATATTTGGAGAAAACCGGAATCTTCCAAAGGTAATGAACAATAGGTTAGTGAGATGGGCCCTAGAACTGAATCAGTACAATTTTCAAATCAAGTACAGGAAAGGAGATGAAAACGTTTGTGCTGATGCACTATCCCGTCTTCCCATGAGAATCAGAGAAGAATCTACCGATGTAAGAGACATAAAGTTTTTAAACATGGATAAAGTTGAGACATTGGTGTCCTATAAGGAACTCAAACATAACAGCAGTTTGGACAAGGAGATAAAATTAGTACAAAGTTATGTGCTAAATTCATGGCCAGAGAAGGTACCAGATAACATTAAAACATTTAAACAAAGGAAAGAAGAATTATCAGTTGAAGATGGTGTTTTGATGTGGTTTGGTAGAGTTGTTGTGCCAACAAATATGAGAAAAAAAATCTTGAGAATTTTGCACTGTGGCCATCCTGGAATTTCAGCTATGAGATCAATTACCAGATACTATGTATGGTGGCCTAACATTGACAAAGACGTTGAAATGCATGTTAAGACTTGTGAAGCATGTCAAGAAAACAGAGGAAACATTGAAGAAGTCCCGGTCTATCCATGGAACATTCCTGAAAAAGTGTGGGAAAGAGTTCATTTGGATTTAGCTGGACCAGTTGATGGAGTAATGTGGTTAGTAGGGATTGACGCGCTATCTAAGTGGGCAGAAGTTGAATGTTTAAGAACAACGACTTCAACTGCCATAATTCAAAGATTAAGATCGTGGATGAGCAGGTATGGGATACCATCACAAGTAGTAACTGACAACGGGCCACAGTTTGTCTCTACTGAAATGGAAGCATTTTTCAAGAGACATTCAATTCGACATATAAGAACTACTCCTTATCATCCTAGAAGTAATGGCTTAGTCGAACGTCTAATAGGGACTTTGAAAAGGCGTTACAGAACAACAAAACAAGAAATTAATGATTCTTCATTGGCATTGCAAAATGTGTTGTTCAGTTACAGAAATGCCCCACAAAAAACAACAGGACGAGCCCCTGCAGAGTTGTTTCTAGGTCGAAGAATGCCAACTATGTTGGACAACATGAAACCAAACCTTAGACAACAATTAGATCTGAAAATTTGGAAGGAACAACAAAACCCAACTCAAAAGAAAACCTTAAGAGCATTCAGTAAAGGGGAAGAAGTATGGATGAAAAAAGAGAATAACCCTGGTTGGATAGCAGGAACAATAGTCAAACGCAATGGCTTATACTCTTATGAAGTCATGTGTGGTGGAGTGATAAAAAGAAAACATTCGGATCAACTGCGAAGAAGAGAAGGTGCGGTAGACGATGAGGAGGGAAAAGTGTAATATATTGGAATCAGCTGATAATTTGGTTTTATGTTTATTAAAATGTAAACAAATAATGTTATATTTTGTTCTATGATTAAATGAGTTTAAGTTAGTTCTTGATTTTATTTCATTAGGTTCTTACAAAAAAATACATTTGAAAACACACTTACCCTACATTCAGATTTCCATTAGGCCAATAGTAAATTACTAATTCCTCTTGTGTGGGTTAATGTATATTTTATAGTAAAAGAATGAATTGAGAAATTCATTTGAGACTACAATAGAGATATCTCAACTCATTAGACATTTACGACCTTCTATACTGTGGTTCTACGCATACTGTTGGATGTAAACACCATTAAAACTGTGTGTTTGTTTAGTTTAATAAGGTAAGTTTGATATTAGATGAGATATCAAGTTGAAATTTGGTATTTTCCTTAGTCTCTACAGTGAGTAGGTACCAGTAAACCAAATTTCATGAAACCTTAGATGGTAAGGTAAAATGACATAGTCTGAAGGTATTGTACGTCTGACTGAAGTGATGATTGTGTTGTTTAGGACAAAGTGGAGAGCAGCCAGAAGGAGAAGATGGCACAGATACAGGAACTCCAAGAGGAGTTGTCACAGAGCCAGCAGAGAGAGGAACACTACCGCAAGTACATCCGGGAGTTGGAACAGAAGAATGATGACTTGGAACGTGCACAGAGGTAACGAGAAAACCTTTAAGTATGGACAAGACTAGTTTTGTTCAGAAAAGGCTCTAGGCCAAGATTTTGATTAAAATAAAGGGATAGAAGCTAGCTTACGTAGAACACGCAGGAGGCACATAAAATACACATTACAAAGAAAGTTGCACATTTTGTGTATTCTATGTGTCTAAGTGTTCATTAGCCTATCGGTAATTTTTCTAGGATAAGCTAGTTGCTAGTTAAGTTATTCTATGGATAGAACTAGAAAATCCATTCCTATTTGAAAGTTTTTGATTATTTTTAACTCTAAGGATATTGTGCTTGACCCTAAGAAAATTAATTAATTAATTCCTTTACAAAATCAGGGCACCAAGATCAATTTTGAATATACTGTATAGCTACATTTTAGTTGAATAAGTTAAGACTATGTCAGGTAGTTTTTAAAATCACAAAATTTATGATTGCAGCCAAATGGATTAAACGAATATTTGAGGTTACAATAGAAACTTTTCAGTTATTCTGATAAGCAACACCTTGACCTTTGACTTTGACTTGATGAGATTTTCTAGGTATTCAAGGAAAGTCCTTGTGTATATTAATATTATGTGTATTTAATATTGATAAACATATTCCTTGACAACTATTTTTTTTCCAGGGCTATGTATGTCTCGTTAGGAGACTTTGAAACTAAGTTGAACGCCTCGATCGAACGCAATGTTTTGCTGGAATCCGAACTCGATGAGAAGGAGAGTCTGAAAGTTATGGTCCAAAGGCTGAAAGATGAAGCTAGAGGTATGTTGTGTGAATCAACTTTAATAACCCTAACTTGTTCCTTTTGTTAATGGAAGTAATCAAAATATTTAGGATCTTAATGAATAGTGTGGTTTTGAGTACAGGTTTGTGGGTCTCCAATAATCTTGGATGGGGTTGGGTTGTGCTTTCATTCTCACGATCGGATAAAGCATTGTGAAGATTGACGATTACGCCTCGATCGCAGGTGATGTTCACGGTTTTGCCGCAGTTGTGGGAGATGATGATGTACCTTGACTGCAAAAGATGTTTACAAAATTATATGTGGCGATATGGGGGAGATGATGTACAATCCTATACTCTAATACCAGCAAAGTCTGTTTGTCTGTCTGTAAATAATTAAAAACTCATGTTTTCCACAGATCTGAAACAGGAGATACAAGTGATTCAGAGGACTAAGGCGACACCTCGCGGGACTCCGGTGGACTCAAACAAACTGCCAGACTCTCTGATGCAGACGCCGACACATAACACGTCTGTGAAAAGTAAGCTCAACAAGGCATATCACAATACATTGGCATGGACTTGCATGAAGCAGAGGCATAGAACACTGATAGATTAGCTTCAATATCTACTTGATTCTGTTTTAGTCTAGGTGACTAGTTTCAGCCTTACTGCAAAACCAAATTGAAACTTCACTAGCCCAGCAGCTAGAGAGGCATTAAGGGTTCTGTAAGGTTTCAATATCAAGTTCCCTATTAATCAGGAGATTTTAATTATTTTATACAATTGATAACAAATAGTGTCTTAGAAGATAAAAGTGAATAGTTTTGAGTTTGTGTCTGAGAAGTACTATCCTAATGGTCATTAACAGCATGATGTTTTACATGCAAGTTCTAGATCAATAATCTGACAATGTGTAAATTAAAGTCACCTAGACAAAAACGAATCAATGTGCTGAACAAGTCCCAGTTTACTTGAGGAAAAATGAAAAACTTTTCTTTTGTCGGCTTGTTAAGAAACTGATTTTTTAAATCTCAACATAATTTCTCCTATAGAGGTGAGGAGTCGAAAGTTGGAAAACATATTTTTGCTGCAAAAGTAGATCTTAGAAATGAATAAACAATTTTTATTCTGTTTTTGCTTCTGTGAAAAAGTAAAATGTTTTGCAGTGTTGTAAAGTAAGTTTTACTTAGTTTAAAATGTTTTCATTGTTTTGTACATTGAGGTAAAAATGTATAAACATTTTATTTGTGTAGAATTATTTCAATGAATATGTTTTTGTTCAGAAGCTTAATAAAAAACTGAGGTTTAGAGAATCTTACAGTATCATAAAAAATAATCATGAGAGTAAATGGCACCTAATTTTTTTTAACAAATTTTTAATATTTAAAACTTTGTTAAGTAAGTTTTTTAAGGCAGCCTATTATAGTGAAATATTATAAAAGACACGTGGTTGTAAGATAACTAGGCCTATTAACTTTTTCATTGAAAACACTTAAAATATTACGTGGAATTTAGCTTTTTAGATATTTAGATATTGTAGGTTATGCTTAGTTTCAGTAGGGTCTGAAAGTGTTCTTTTTAATTTGCACTAATGAAGATCCCAATTGAAGTAGCATTCAACCTGAAATAGCTTTTATAGATATTCTTTGCCTGTTTCGTTATGCTTTTTGATTAAATAATGCATCCCTTTAAGTTTGTAGGATAGTTTAGTGATAAATTTACATAATAAATGTGACGAATAGACCTGATAGACCCTAAATCAATTTTAAAGGTTAAGAATTTATGTGATATGTTGGTTCAAGTACTTAACTATGTTCAGTAAAAAATAAAGTCAGTATTATTGACAGAATAGCATTTAGTAGTCATATCTTTTAATGTAAGCAATGTACATTGATAACGATACTATAATACTTGTACATAATTTGACCTGTTAGTACATTAGGTTTTAGAGAAAGGCGTTAGTTAATAAGTGGCAGTGTTTGTTCCTTAGTTATTGATGTAGATGTACATAATGCTTAATTGTACAATATCAATGTGCCTTATGATTAAATAAAGTTCTCAAACCAGCTTAAACCTGCATGTTTGTTACGTTTGGTTACTCCTTTGCACTTTTTTGTCCCCTTTGTGCACATGTAAGTTTACCTCCAGCTCTTTGTCAGCGTTTTTTTTTTGTCAAGTAGGGTGCATATAGTTAAATTTTATTACTATGTTGATCCATTCATAAATTGTTCATTACACTTCCTTAGTAATTAAATCCATTCAAACTTTTGTTTGAGAGCTTTTACTTATAATTGAGACAGTATGTCACTTAAAATCACTTAATCTTTGTAATAATCAACTTAAGGCCTATTAAATTTAAAATTTGCATTTAGAAGTGCACAAAGTTAATTTGTAAGTCATAAAGAAGTAGAATTCCCTCATTGAACAACTTTTAAATTTTTAATTGAATATTTACCATTTTGTATATGCCTACTTAAAGATTTTTGATCTGAAAAAAAAACTGTCTAGCTACAAAATGTACAAAAGAATGTTCATTGTTGCATGTAGCCTGATATTTATGCATGTGGTTTATTTTGTGCATACATTCTAGGATGTCAATAAAGGTATGTTCTGTTAATTTGTCTTATTTTTCTTTACCCATCGGGTGCAACTTTTACCCAATAATTGCACAATATTCCCATCATCTGCATGGCTTACTCATTAGTTATTAGTTGCATGGTTTTAGCTGGTTTGAGTATTTTTAATCATTTATGTCTAATGCAAGTCTACATAACCTTTTCCACAATAATAAAACCCTAGAAACAAATGCTGCCAAACAAAAATTGATAATACAATGAGAATCCTGTAAAGCAAACATTGAAAACTAATTTTTCATTTTAAAGCCTTTCAGGCAAGAAATTGGTTAAGATTCAGATTTAAGTAGCTAAGCCCCAATTGAATCAATCCATTGGTACTTAAATGTTTGCATGTGACAAATTATTTTAAAGACTTTCTCTCTCTCAGCTAAAACCATGTTGTAACTTATTCAACATACTAGTGTAAAATAAGAGGAAGTTTTTTAAAGTTAGGGCCAGTTTCACGTATAAATGCGTACCGTAGTTCGCTTGTTAGCTGCAACGAGGGTCATCACCATTTACTGGCACAGAATGACACAAATTTCAGCTCTGTCGCTATCATGTAGCGTGTTGTATCATGTAGGCTTTATTTATTACTAAAACTATTTTACCTAATACTCGGTATAGGATGCCATACAAAGGCGGTTTTTAAGTAAGGGCCGGTTTCACGTATAGATTGGTAGTTCACTTGTATGCCGCAACGAGGCTCATCACCATTTACTTCCATCATTTGTTAACAGAATGACACAAATTTCAACTCTGTAGCTGTCATGTATGCTTCGCTGTGTTTTTTTTAATTTTTAAACAATCAAATCTCCTGCCGTGTCCGAGGTAAGGTCAGTGAAGTTTTTTTCCTCTTCAAATGACTGAAAGTAATGTCCCTAATTCAATGAGTGAGGATAGAGTGTGGAAATAGGTCAAAGAATGTAAAAATGGCCATAAAATCCTTTTTTCTTTGAGGTTTGGTCTTCATTGAGAAGTCTGGGTACGCACCAAAAACACAATTCCTTCTGAAATAAGAATTATGACAGCCATTTTAAAACTCCCTAGCCTATTTATGCACTTTCCACGCTATCTTTGCATCAGGGTCATAATCTCCAGTCATCTGGTGATGAATCTCGGCATGGCATATGATTCTTGTAGTAAAAAAACGTATCCCTGACCTTACCTTGGACGTGGCAGGAGATTTTATTGTTTAAAAAATTTAAAAAAACACAGCGAAGCATACATGCTAGTTACAGAGCTGAAATTTGTGTCATTCTGTTAACAAATGATGGAAGTAAATGGTGATGAGCCTTGTTACAAGTGAACTACCAATCTATACGTGAAACCGGCCCTTACTTAAAAACCGCCTTTGTATGGCATCACATACCGAGTATTAAGTAAAATAGTTTTAGTAATAAATAAAGCCTACATCCCTAAAAATTCCTTGTCAGTATCCCTTTTTACAATTACGCTTTTCATAACTCAAAATATTTTACGTATTGCAAAAGATATGAAATAACAATTTTCAAAAATCTTGGCAAAGGAAATTTCAGAGAAGAAGAAAGACAGTTATTAGAATCTGTGATATGTTATAAAGCTTTAAATGAAAGAATTTGTTACCTTAGGTTAAGAGGAAAATTTAATAGTTTATCTGTGATTAGTTACTATGCGCCAACGGAAGAAAGTAATGATGAGGATAAAGACAATTTTTATACACAATTAGAAGAATTAGTTACCGATATTTCAGATTATGATACGCTTATAATGTTAGGAGATGCAAATGCCAAAATAGGTAGAGAAGATATATGGAAAAGTGTAGCTGGAAAAGAAAGCTTACATGAAGAAAGTAATGAAAATGGTGTAAGGTTACTAAGTTTTGCGTGCTCCACAGACTTATTCATAGCAAGTACTAAATTTCCTAGAAAAAATATATACAAACAGACCTGGGTATCACCTGATGGACACACGGTAAACCAAATAGACCATGTCCTAGTAGATAAAAGACACCTGAGCTCAATTACCCAGGTAAGAAGCCTAAGGGGAGCAGAATGTGGCACTGATCACTATTTAGTCTTAATAAAAGTAAAACAAAAATTAAAAATAGAAAAGAGAAAAAAGAATAAAGCTGAAGAAAGAATATTGTTTGAACCAAACAAGATAAAGGAATACCAAATCGAACTGAAGAATAGGTTTTCGGTATTAGCACAGGACACCGGAGAGGATGTAGAAAGAGTATGGGAAACCATTAAGAAAGGGGTCAAAGAATCAGCTGAAACAGTCTTTGAAAAAAGTAAAATTATTAAAAAACCATGGTTTAACGAAGAATGCCAAAAACTTGTTCAAGAAAGAAGACAAGCGAAAAAGAAAACACTCGCAGATAACACGGCGGAGTCAAAGGCAAGATACCAACTCCTAAATAGAGAAGTAAACAAAACACTAAGAAGAGAAAAAAGAAAGTATGTAAACAACACTCTATTACGAGCAGAACAGGACTGCAACCAAAATAACTCTAAAGACTTCTATAGAAGAATTAGGTTTTTCCAAAAAGGTTTTAAACCAAATGTAATAGGCGTGAAAAATCGAAATGGAATAGTAACATGTGAGCCAACTGAAGTTTTAAAAACTTGGAAAGAGTACTTTTGTGAACTATTGAACTGCAATGAAGATGAAGCAAGGAATATTGAAGATGAAATTTTGGCAGAGGAGGAAGAAGATCAAGGAGTCGAAGAAATTCCTTGTGCTGAGCCCACAATGCAAGAAATAAAGGACGTTTTAAAAACATTCAAAAATGGCAAAGCTCCTGGTGAAGATGCGATCCCAATAGAATTAATGAAAAATGGAACCGAAGAACTTTTCATCCATCTACACAAACTGATTCTACAAGTATGGAAAAGCGAGAAAATGCCAAAAGAGTGGACTGAAGCAGTAATAGTCCCACT